GCAGTGGTGACCACCTCGACGCTTGTCTCTTAGGGTTTGTCGGAAGCTGCATATGGTGCGGTTGATACTTTAAAAGTCACCCCTTCAAGATGAATAGGTTTCGCGTATGCTATATTCCCTGTCCGGCCGAACCCTTCTTCCTTCTTCACCCACCCATTCGTTCTCCCGCCATACTTCAGTGAAACTGATTGTTATGCGCTTAGTTTGGCGACTCCGATGAGTCTGCGTCCGAATTCGACGATGACACCTCCGGATTGCCCTTCCCCGAGCCTTTATCCCGTGCTTCCTTCCTCTCCCCCGACTTCGACCCCGCGGCGTACCTATCCTCCCTCACCAATCGACACCAGAGCCTCGAGGACTTGCGACAAGAATTACGGGATTTGGATCAATTACTCAGTCGAGAACTCCTAGATTTGGTCAATGAAAACTACCAGGACTTCCTATCCCTAGGGAGCGCATTAAACGGTGGGGAGGAGAAAGTCGAGCAGGTACGGGTCGGCTTGTTGGCATTCCAGCGTGATGTTCAGTCCATACGGGATAAGGTGGAAGCCAGACAAGAGGAGATGGTAGAGTTACTGAAAGAGAAGAAGCGCCTGAAGACGCAAGCCAATGTTGGGCAGGTCTTGCTGGACTATGCGGATCGAGTCGAGGAGCTGGAAAGGAGATTAATGATCGGAGACACTCCCCGGCCTACTCAAGATGGTACCCCGGGCGAGTCCGATTCAGACTCCGATTTGATCGAGAGCGACAGCGACGATAGTGACGAGGATGAACTGCCTAACGGCGCAACTACTGCGTCGCTCGTTTCCCTCAAGACGCTCGAGCGTCATATCCAGAAGTATGTCTACTTGACCAAGCTGTCCTCTCGGATAGGTGACAACCATCCATTCCTACAGAGTCAACAACCGAGGATGTCGAAAATACGATCTGCAGTGCTCTTGGATCTGAAGACGGCCCTGGAGCAGGCCAAGCAGGCGGGCGACAAGCGGGATACGAAAACGCTGGCCGTATTGCGTCTCTACAAGCTCATGGGAGAGGACACTACTGCCGTATCGGCACTCAAGAATCTGAAGTCCTAGAGGACCTCTAGAGCTAGGCAGTGCCATTTTGCATAGCGCCGGCGTTGGGAGATTTACTTTTGCTGGTTCCGAGTGAGATTTGAAAAAATACCATTATACACCGTAACCTTCCTAATGAAACATATTCTGTACACCCATGAACTTGAAGACGCTAGAGACTATTTTACACGCCCTGCAAAGCGGCAGATTCGGGAGAGGTCTCCGACCTGAATTCTCCGCTCAGACTGAAGCCGGGACCGTTGGTCGAGCTCAGGACCTAAGGAACGTTAGAGAACAATACCGGTTGCAAGCGCAACGCAAGTCGGCGACTTACCACTTCGTACACCTCCTTGGTTACGCGGTCGTTAAGACCGGCCGCATCCTTCTTGATCTGGTCGATCGTTGCGCGCAGGTTGTCACGCAATTGCTCGGGGGAGAAACCGAGCTGGCCAACGGGGACACGAATGACAGCGTCACGCTCGCGGTAAATGGTACCACCACGCAGCATATCCACACGCACGGCAATATCTTCGACCACAGTACCCGTCTTGACGCTGGGCATCAGGCCCCTGGGACCGAGGATCCGACCCAGGCCAGCCTTGTTCAATGCATCCAAACTATCCGGGTGGCAGAGACAGCGGTCGAACTCGATCTTGCCGGCCTTCACTGCATCAAAGACCTCCTGCTCACCCACCAGGACTGCTCCAGCCGCACGAGCTTCCTTCTCATGGCGGGTTCCGGGAGGGCACACGACGCAAATTCGGGACTCGGTCTGAACGGAATGGGGGAATCGAAGCATGTTGCGAATGACGGGGCCGTCCCTCCTCGTCTTCAGGCGGACGTGGACCTCGTATTTGGAATTGGTTGGCTCGCGGCCAACTTCGAATGCACGGAGATATCTGCGGTGAAGATCGACGCAATCAGTGAAAAGGTCGATTGAACCACGACGACAATAATACAAACCTCATGGCATCACATAGCGCAAATTGTTGCATATCCTTAAGATCCTTCTGCTTGAACTCTCTCGGACCCTTCTTTCTCTTGGTGGTCTTGTCTCCTCCCTTCACCTTGCGCGCCTGGGCAGCGGTGCGCACCTGCTGCAAGCTGGGCAAAATAGGCGCAATTGGGCTCGGGCGAAGAGCAGGACGACATGACGACAAGATTCCCCGTGCCGCAGAGGGCATGAGGGAGCTGTAGGAGGAAGCCATGGCGATGAACTCCGAATGAGCTTGACAGCGCCGGGAATGTTTTCTGGTCCGAAATCTAGAGGCTCCGGCCGACCATCGCCCGCGGAGAAACTTACCGCCGGCGGAGCCCATTGAGTCAAAACTGCCCCTCCCGGCAGTAAATTATCTCCATCCCACCTATCTATACCATCTTTTCCTGGGGCAATTGATCCATTTTCCTGGGGGTTTTGGGTCTTTGAAACGATGTCGCAGTTCAAGCTTAGCCTGGCCACTAAGGCCAACCAGGCCTCTTTGCTTCCAGTCCTCCTGGTTGCTACCTCCATCAACGAGGCTCGCCCTACTCCCGTCATCGCCATCAACTTCGAGGATGCGGCTGTTCTCCCCGAGGGCGAGAAGGCTATCGTTCAGTTCACGGGTGCCAGCGGTGCTCCCGTCTATGGAACTGACAATGCCATCAAGGAGCTGCGTGCTAGCTTCCCCTTCCTTAACGGAAAGGATGAGAAGTCTGTAAGTGGTCCCCGCTTCGCCTTCGTTGTGACTCTATGCTGATGGAGGCTTTTCCAGGAGACCGAATGGCTTTCCCAGCTCGAGTCCTTCACCACCCTTGACTTCAAGGCTCTCGACCCTCTGCTTCAGCGCCTGAACACCCACCTTCTCCTTCGTTCTTTCATCGTCGGTTACTCGCTCTCCACCCCCGATATTGCTCTGTGGGGTGCCCTTCGTGGCAACCGCGTTGCCATCTCCGCTATTCGCAAGGGAGCCCTTGTCAATCTGACTCGTTGGTTCAACTTCCTGGATGAGCTCTGTCCCTGGGCTAGCGCTGCTTTGGAGAGCCTCAATGCTTCCGCCAAGGAGAAGAAGGCGGCCAAGGCCAAGGAGGGTGCCAGCTACGACATTGCTCTTCAGAACACTGACAAGGGTGTTGTTACCCGTTTCCCTCCTGAGCCCTCTGGATACCTGCACATCGGACACGCCAAGGCTGCTCTGCTCAACGACTACTTTGCGCACGAGAAGTACAACGGCACCCTGTTGGTGCGCTTCGACGACACCAACCCCTCGAACGAGAAGCAGGAGTTCCAGGATGCTATCATGGAGGATTTGGCCCTGATGGGCATCAAGCCCGACAGGATGAGCTACTCCAGTGACTACTTCGACCAGATCTACGAGTACGGTCTGAAGATCATCCGCGAGGGCAACGCCTACGCTGATGACACCGACAAGGAGACCATGGCCTCCCAGAGAATGAACGGCGAGCCCAGCAAGCGCCGTGATGCTTCCGTCGAGGAGAACCTGGCTCGTTTCGAGGAGATGAAGCAGGGTACTCCTGAGGGTCTCAGGTGGTGCATCCGCGCCAAGATGTCTGTGGACAACCCCAACAAGGCCATGCGTGACCCCGTCATCTACCGCTGCAACCCCTCTCCTCACCACCGCACCGGCACCAAGTGGAAGATCTACCCCACCTACGACCTGTGCTGCCCCATCTTGGACTCGATTGAGGGCGTTACCCACGCTCTCAGAACCATTGAGTACCGTGACCGGAACCCTCAGTACCAGTGGTTCTTGGACACTCTCGGACTCCGCCACGTGCAGATCTGGGACTTTGCGCGCATGAACTTCATCCGTACTCTGCTCTCGAAGCGTAAGCTCACTAAGCTGGTCGACCAGGGCGTTGTCTGGGGCTGGGATGACCCTCGCTTCCCGACCATCAGAGGTATTCGCAGAAGGGGTATGACTGTGCCGGCTCTCCGCGAGTTCATCCTCAAGCAGGGACCCAGCAAGAACATTACCAACCTGGACTGGACCCTCATCTGGGCGACCAACAAGAAGTACATTGACCCCGTTGCGCCGCGCCACACTGCCCTCATGAAGAAGGACCTCGTCAAGGCCGTCATCAAGGGCGCCCCTGCTGCTTACACCGAGGACAAGCCTAAGCACAACAAGAACCCCGAGGTTGGCCAGAAGAAGGTCACCTTCAGCGGTTCGGTTCTCTTCGACCAGGAGGATGCCAAGACCTTCAAGCAGGACGAGGAGATCACCCTCATGGCCTGGGGTAATGCCATTGTCCGCAAGATCGAGAAGGACGCCGCGGGTGTTGTGCAGTCTCTGGAGCTTGACCTGCACCTGGAGGGTGACTTCAAGAAGACCGAGAAGAAGGTCACTTGGCTGTCTGCTGACCAGGAACTGGTCCCCGTGGAGCTGGTCGACTTCGACTACCTCCTCAACAAGGACTCCCTCCAAGAGGACGATGCTCTGGAGGATGTGCTGAACAAGAACACCGAGTTCCGTGAGGACGCCGTGGCTGACTGCAACGTTGCCGAGCTGCGCGAGGGCGATATCATCCAGTTCGAGCGCAAGGGCTACTTCCGCTGCGACCGCCCCTACGCTCCTGGCAAGCCGGCTGTGCTGTTCAACATCCCCACCGGTAAGACTGGCAAATAGACGTGCACTGAGTAGATATGAGTCTACATGTTATGAAGAAACGCAGACTATGTGATGTAGACGAAATGCAAGATTTCAATGTCGATTGATATGCGGACACTATTTATTAATACCTGGTTTCCACATCGGAGACCTTTTAGGAAAAGACTTCCGTCACATATTAGATGTAAATCTCTAAAGAATGTGTGATTAGATAATAAGCGTAGCATCCACTCGGGATATTCACACCTAATGATCTCGATATGGGACACATGGTAAGCACAACATGCCAGGTGACTATGATTCTAGATGGAATATTCGGCACCGCTGTGTGTCAAGTAAACTTCCCATGCCCTACACCATACTAGTTATACGACCGCTAACCCTACGGCAATGTGCAGCCACATACGTAGAGACCCCTTACCTAGGTAGGGCTGGGTCCAAATTCAGTTCCGGTCAGAAGTGCGAGGGGTGTCGCAGCTCGTGACATCTGGAGAAAAGTATAGACGAAAGTGTCTTTTTATAAGGACCGTCGGACTCGGGGAGAAAATCCCTCAATCGCCGTAGTAGACTTGGAGGTGTGTGGAAGGAAGCAGCCAAGGGATACGGAGCAACATCCCTTGAACCTTGTGAAGGTGGTGACGGCATTGATGGAGGGCGGAGGGCTGGGGAAGATGACACCTGCTCAGGACTGCTTTGTTCAGATCCCGTCATTCGTCTGGTACGTTCATCGTTCATCCGCCAAATTTAAGCTGGCGTTCCTTCGGCATATTTTTTCTTCTTTTTTCTCGATCCTTCCTGTGTGATCCGAGTGCTCCGTGGCAGGGTCTGGAGTGGAGAAGGAACAGGAGTTGAAGAGTCGAGCTGGGGGATTAGAAGGCATAGTAGTGAGTAATGGAGAGTAATAGAAGCAGTAATATTACGTCGAGATGGGTCCGTCACGTTGCACTGCGCTAGTCCTAATGCAGTCAGGGTCTGGGCACTAGTCCCACTTGGTGCGGATCGATCGACTGTCTCCTCTTTTCTGACTAGTAAACTAGTTCTATCCTTCTATCTACATCCTCTCTATCTATGTAGATACTCTCTCACTCTTCGTAAGTCCACCTTGCATCAATTGTCCACTTCATTCTCATGTCTATTTGATTCTTTAATGTCTGATCACTTAGAAAAAAGCTTGAGCTTACAACGAACACTCTCTTCTCCCCCCTTCCACCCATTGGCAGCTGTCATCCCTGTTGTGTTGCTGTCCCTTCCCAAGCCTTTCCCTGGTTCTCTACTGCCGTGCCGTTACCCAGTCCACGCCCAGGACCCTGGTACACATCATCGCGTCACGAGTCAACTCCTCTGCTGACCCTCTCAGAATCCAACGCTCGCCAAGGCACAATGGATTATTGGTGTGCTCCCAGACTCGGCCCGTCCATGCCCTACGGTTCGTTCGGAAATCTCACCATGTCTCATACGTCAAGACACTCGTCGAATCAACGAGTCATTCCCCCTTGGCCTGTGGTCTATCATCCTGTCGCGTTCGTGACTGGCTCCGGTAGTCGGTTCACTTTAAGCTCAATTGCTCAGGGTTACTGACACAAACGCCCGACCGGTCGACCTGGTGAGTGATCACCCTCCGTAGACTGCCGGAACTTCCTGGACTCTCCTACGTCAGCATGATTGTCTCCGTCAACACTATTCGTCAGAGCTCCGATCTGCTGTGAAAGTGTCCATGCATCCTTGCTGCTTGGGACCAAGAAAGAAAAAGAAGCTTTCCTCGTTTTCCTTTGTCTCTTCTTCCCCAAACCTGGCGGGGAGGCCGACTTTTTCTTTTCTACCTCGTAGAGTTGCTGTCGCTTGTTGCTCCGGATTGCTTCCTTTCTCTGTTTCTTGCGTGAGATTGATTTCCGCTCACTCTTTCGCTGTAAACTAAGGGCAGGCCCGCAGAGCGCTTCGGGCACGCCAACGGTTTCCTCTGCTGCCCTAGACAAGCTATTGGATCGATCATGGCTGAGCAGGCCGGCGCCTCTGGCGACGTTGAACGTGTCGCGCAGACAACGCAATCGCAAATCCGCACCTCGACCTCGGAGCGACGCGACTCGAGACGTGTCTCTCGAGTTTCCTACAAGGAAGACTACGCTAACCTCGACGAATATGGAAAATTGGTTAAGTATGCCTCGACTTACCGCGAGGGTCGTCCGGGTGACGAGGTGCAGGGCGAAGAGGAGGAGAAGAGGGTGTGGTATGCACCCTGGAAGAAGCGCAAGGTCTTCGTCAAGCATATCGACCAGCAACCCGGTCAATTCCCCGAGGAATGGCTCATCACGGACATCCGTCAAGGTCTGCCTAGCAGCGAGGTTCCTGTCAGACGTCGACGTGCCGGGTGGAACGAGCTGGTCTCGGAGAAGGAGAACCCAATCGCTAAGATTCTGTCGTATTTCCGAGGCCCCATTCTCTATGGTACGCCATCAAGTCCCTAGGTACAGCCATTGATCGAGATCCTTTCATTCTAACAAGACTACAGTAATGGAATTGGCTGTTCTCCTGGCCGCAGGTTTGGACGACTGGATTGACTTTGGTGTCATCATCGGTATCTTGTGTCTGAACGCCGCCGTGGGTTGGTACCAAGAAAAGCAGGCTGCGGACGTCGTTGCAAGTCTTAAGGGTGACATTGCCATGAGAGCCACCGTGATCCGCGATGGCCAGCAACAGGAAATCTTAGCGCGGGAGCTTGTTCCGGGCGACGTGGTATGTAGTGGAGACCCTGTTGAGCCCATTTGTGGGGTTCGTGAATAAGAGCTTGAAAGCTAACAATATAATTGCAGATCATTATCGGAGAAGGCTCAGTTGTCCCAGCCGATTCCAAGATTATCTGTGATGTCAATGACCCCAATGGTTGGGAAGAGTTCAAAAGGATGCAGGAGCAAGGCGACCTTAGCAGTACCTCCGAATCTGACCTCGAAGACAATGAGCCTGAAGGAGGTCAAAAGGAGGGTGAAAAGGAAGAGGACTCCAAGCCCAGAAGACGCCGTGGCTACCCCATCCTCGCGTGTGACCACTCCGCTATTACCGGTGAATCGCTTGCAGTTGACCGTTATATGGGTGGATTGATCTACTATACGACCGGCTGCAAGCGTGGTAAGGCCTACGCGGTTGTCCAGACAGGCGCGAAGAACTCGTTCGTGGGTAAGACTGCGAGCATGGTGCAATCAGCCAAGGGTGCTGGTCACTTCGAAATCGTCATGGACAACATTGGTACTTCTCTTTTGGTTCTTGTTATGGCTTGGATCTTGGCTGCTTGGATTGGTGGTTTTTACCGCCATATTCCCATTGCTTCGCCGGGTCAGCAGACGCTCCTCCACTACACCCTTGCTTTGTTGATCATTGGTGTTCCTGTCGGTTTGCCAGTTGTGACCACCACTACCATGGCTGTCGGAGCGGCATATCTAGCCAAGAAGAAGGCAATTGTGCAAAAGCTGACTGCGATCGAATCACTGGCGGTATGTTGGAGACGTACATCAGGGGAAAACTGGACACCGTTGCTAACCTCATCGTACAGGGCGTTGATATCTTGTGTTCGGATAAAACAGGAACATTGACGGCGAATAAGCTGAGTATCCGTGAGCCGTATGTAGCTGAAGGTGTGGATGTGGACTGGATGTTCGCTGTGGCCGTCCTGGCTTCTTCTCACAACATTGAATCGCTCGATCCTATCGACAAAGTCACGATCCTGACTCTCCGGCAATACCCAAGAGCAAGGGAAATACTTCGCAGAGGTTGGAAGACCGAAAAGTTTGTTCCCTTCGATCCGGTGTCCAAGCGGATTGTGACGGTTGCGAGCTGCGATGGAACAAGATACACCTGCACTAAAGGCGCTCCCAAGGCTGTGCTTCAGCTGACGAACTGCTCCAAGAGCACCTCCGATCACTATAAAGCGAAGGCGCAGGAGTTTGCGCACAGAGGTTTCCGCTCCTTGGGTGTCGCAGTGCAAAAGGAAGGAGAAGACTGGACTTTGCTCGGAATGCTTCCCATGTTTGACCCGCCCCGTGAGGATACAGCTCAGACGATCAACGAAGCTCAGAACCTAGGTATCAGTGTGAAGATGCTCACGGGTGATGCCATTGCGATCGCTAAAGAAACGTGCAAGATGCTTGCCCTCGGTACTAAGGTGTATAACTCTGATAAGCTTATTCATGGTGGCCTAAGTGGAGCCATGGCAGGCGATCTGGTTGAAAAGGCAGATGGTTTTGCGGAAGTGTTCCCTGAACATAAATACCAAGTGGTGCAAATGCTCCAAGACCGTGGCCATCTGACCGCGATGACAGGCGATGGTGTGAATGATGCACCATCATTGAAAAAAGCGGATTGCGGTATTGCTGTTGAAGGAGCAACGGAGGCGGCACAGTCATCTTCTGATATTGTGTTCTTGGAGCCTGGATTGTCCACCATCATTGACTCGATCAAGGTTGCTCGGCAGATCTTCCACCGCATGAAGGCATATATCCAGTACCGTATTGCTCTTTGCTTGCACTTGGAGATCTATCTGGTGACGTCGATGATTATTCTCAACGAGAGTATTCGTGTCGAGTTGATTGTCTTCCTTGCTCTTTTCGCCGATCTGGCAACGGTCGCGGTGGCGTACGATAATGCGTCATTTGAGTTGCGTCCTGTCGAATGGCAGCTCCCTAAGATCTGGTTCATTTCAGTGTTGTTGGGTCTGCTGCTCGCTCTGGGCACATGGGTTGTTCGCGGTACCATGTTCCTCCCATCAGGTGGTATCATCCAAAACTGGGGTTCAATCCAGGAAGTCCTTTTCCTCGAAGTCGCACTGACCGAAAACTGGCTGATCTTCGTCACTCGAGGTGCTGATACTTGGCCATCAATCCACCTTGTCACAGCCATTCTTGGTGTGGATGTTCTGGCAACGATCTTCTGTCTCTTCGGTTGGTTCACTAACCAAGACATGCCCACGAACCCCGGCGACTCCTTCGTCGAGACCACCAACGGCTGGACAGATATCGTCACGGTCGTCCGAATCTGGGGCTACTCGCTGGGTGTGGAGATCGTCATTGCGTTGGTCTACTTCATGCTGAACAAGTTCAAATGGCTCGATGAACTTGGTCGTCACAAGCGCGACAAGGGTGACCTCAAGATCGAGAACCTGTTGGGTCACCTTGCTCGGTTGACAGTCGAATACGAGGAGCCTGGGAAGCCCAAGGGCCGCTTCTTCCTGGCCACCAGCAAGGAAGAAGAAGAAGTGGAGTAAGAGCTGGGACTTGCGTCTCAAGCTCAAGGGTATATTCTGGAATGATATGCTGGAGTAGTGGCCCGATACTGTTTATTATTGGAGGGGAAAATATGATGTGAGAAGAGAAGGATGTTGGGATAATGGATGTTGAATGATAATAATAGTTTATTTAGTGTTTGTGATATCTTTATAAATTTGTTAATTAGGTAGGTAGTTGTTAGGAACTAGTTAATATATACCTGGTGTGTTTGACTTGCAGCTTTCTAGTAATTAGTCGAATTCCTACTAATCATGATGGTAAGAATGTCCGAATTGATCACTTCATCGTCCCTGTAATTACCACTACTTACTAGTAAGTAGTAAATAGTACTGTGTCGATAAGTAGCATTCGTGATGAAGAGATTACTAATAGTAAATAATTCATAACAAGTTATCTACTAAGTAGAGGTATACCTCAGTACTAAGTAGTACTTACATACATAGATAAATATATAACGGTTGTTGACGGTAATTAATCAACTTAAGTTAATCAGTTGTAAGTAGTAGTTGTAGTACTACCACTGCTTTGTAGGACTACTAACCTATTAAAGCACAAATCATAAATCATGACGTTAATTAGAAACCGATCGATGATTATA